TCAAACCCCAGTGCTGCCAATAAATAAATAAGGTATTTATAAGGAGGGAAGAAACTAGGTAGAGGAGACAGAGGTAAAAGTCTGACTTCTCTGCATATACCTTTATTCTATACATTTTGCTCCGGAACCATGTAAATATTTTACAAAATTATAATATGAAATTAAATCAAAATGAAAAATAATCAAACAGTAAAATAAAAAACAATGAACCTGTGTATCAAGCATCAACTTAACTACATGGGAATTATTTTCAAGACACAATTATTGACAAAAAGAACTGAGCTCTTTTTGATAATCATCTCTTAGTAATCACAGTTATTATTGTCCTGAAATTATTATATACGTAGTAGGATAGAACAGATGAGTAATTATGTTAATGCTGTCAGGAACTAAAATTTTCATTAAGAAACGAAGATATAGCCACATGCTGGTAGTTCGCGCCTGTAATCCTAGCTACTTGAGAGGCTGAGACAGGAGGATCAATGTTTGAGCCAGGAGTTCATGAGAGTCTATCTCCAAAATAATCAGAGCAAATGGATTGGAGGTGAGGCTCAAGCAGTAAAGCACCTGCTTTGCAAGCACAAAGCCCTGAGTCCAAACCCAGTCTCACCTCCCCAAAAAAGAAAGAAACAAGAGATACAAATATAAAAATAAGAGGACTTAGGTAAAAACTCTAATTCTAAGTTTGATTGGATGAATCAGTATGAACATATGATACAATTGCTCTTTAAAAAATACTTCCTAGCCAGGCATAGTGGCAAACATCGGTAATCCAGCACTAGGGGACAGAGGACATCATGGAAATTCAATCAGCAAACTCCAGAATGTGAAGATCTCCACAAAAAAAAATCAACTACTTTCTTCACAAGATAAATTGCAAGGACAAAAAATTAAGAGAAAGGGAGATTGCAAATGAAAATACTGAAGAACCATGTTCCATGCAACATGTATACAGTCAGCCCTCCTAAATACAGGCTCTACATCACCAGATTCAACCAAAGGCAGGCGAAGAATGTCCAAAAATTATGCCTGAACATGTACAGACTGGTTTCCTGTCGTCATTCCCTATACAACTCCTTTCATAGCTATTTATTTACTCTTTACATAGCATTTATATTGTATTATGGGCAACCTAGAGATAATCTAAAGTATATGCGAGGAGGGGCTAGCAGTGTGGCTCAAGTGATAGAGTACCTGCCTAGCAAGCATAAGGCCTTAAGTTCAAACCACATCAATGCAAAAAAAAAAAAAACGTCAAAGTATATGGGAGGATTATATAGGTGATATGCAAATACTAAACCATTTAATATAAGGAACTTGAGCATCTGTGCATGCTGGATTCTGTGAGGACCTTGGAATCAACCCCTTATAGATACCACAGGATTTACAAGATACCTTGCTGGAGTCCTGATCTGAACAACTAGAAAAATCAAAATATTTGGCCTGGCACAGTGTCTCACACCTATAATCCCAGTTACTTAGGAGGCAGAGATAGGAAGATTGTGCTTCAAGGCTAGTCTGGACAAAAAAAAGGTAGTAAAACCCTATCTCAGAAAACAAGGTGGGAGCTGGCTCAAGTGGTAGAGCACCTGCATAGCAAGCATGAGGCCGTGAGTTCAAACCCCAGCATTACCAAAAAAAAAGTCAAAAATCAATATGAAGAAAAAACAAGCCAGGTGTGGTGGCTCAATCCTATAATCTCAAATATGTGGGAGGATAAGATGGAGGACTGTGATCCAAGGTCAGCCTGGGCAAAAAGCATGAGACTATTTCTGAAAAATAACTAAAAAAAAGGACCAGGGACATGGCTCAATTGGTAGTGTGACTGCCTAGTAAGCACTAGGCCCCGAGTTCAAACCCCAGTACCATCACAAAAACAAAGAGTAGATATTTAAAACTCAAGTGGGAGGCAGACTAAGGTTATCCTATCATCTTAATGAAAAAGAAGTCAGTACCAGTAACAGACATGCAGGTTTAAAAATCTGAGCTCAGTGATATATACATGTAAGATACTATTACTATTACAACCATTATCTGGCCTGGATTGGATTTTAGGTCCAGTACAACTACTACGGGGAGGAGAAATTCATCTGGATGGATGTGAAGGGTAGAAATTCACCCAGGAAAAGCTGGAAGGGCTGGAGACTTGGGTAAGTATTGCAAAGAAGTTAGTATTCATTTATAAAGTACTTACTGTATCAGTCACAGCTGAGTGCTACAGTGCAAAGTTAGATAATCCATAAGTGCTACCTTCACAGTCTAGTGTGGGAAGGACCCACAAACAAAGAAATCTGGTGTATTGGGTGCTATAACATGAGGTCCATAGGAAAACATCCTTAATCAGACTGAGGAGTCAGATACAGTTTTCTGCAGGATCCAATGCCTGAAATTAATCTTAGAGAGTAAGTAGAAGCCAGACAAAGAAAACTGAAGGCATTCTAACAAGATATAGAACGAGACAGCATGGCAAGGTAACACTAGCTCAATTACAAATGGAAACAGGAAAGGATGTGGCAGAAGATAAGGCTAGGAATCTTGTCATGAAGGTCCTTAAGTGAAAAGGTAAGGAATTTAAATTTGATTCTAAAAGCTATTGACAACTACTCAACTACTGCAGAAGTTTAAGCAGGGGACATTTGGCAATGTGTTCCCCAGGGGACATGTGGCAATGTCTACAGACATTTTTGGTTATCACAATTAGTGGAACCTAGTGGACAGAGACTAAGCATACTGCTAAACATCCTACAATGGACCACCTGGCCCCACAACAAAAAAAATGATCCAATCTAAAAATATCAATAGGGCAACACTGATTTCTAGAGCACTACATGACAGCCAAGTGAGGATGTTCAGTAGCCTTTTGGAAATGTACCTCCCTCAGCTCAAGAGGGCACTAGAATGCAAATACAAGTTAGGAGTTGTCAATTTAGAAGCAGTGATTCAAGTCACCTGTTATGACTGGGTGGCTTCTCTCATGAATCTATTCAGAAAGAAGAGGGCCAAGGACAGAAGCCTGAAGGACTCCAACATTCACCATGGAAAAGAAGATTAGAAAAAGATCCATGAGAAAGACTAGGAAGTGGCCAGCATGATAAGAGGAAAATCATCAGAAAATGGTATCCAAAAGCAGTGTTTCAAGGGAAAATAAGAGTAAGAAGCAATGCCAAAAGAAGAGAAAATTCAAGTAGGGCAAGGAAGTTTCCATTGGACTTGGCAAAATGGAAATTACTGATGACTTGGCAAGACCAATTTTATGAAGTGTTAGGGGCAGAAAAAAACAACCATTAGATTTTTGTAAAGATGGGAGATAATTAGTATGCTTATGAGGGGAAAGAGCTGATAGAAGTGGTAAAAGGATAAGGTAAGAAACAGGAGAAAGAGGGTATGTAATGAAGAAGCAAGAATCCTGGGAAGTAGAAGGTAAGTCTAAACAGAAAGAAGGAAAAGCCTTCACCCGGGGGAGAACCAACCACCAATTTCACTGAGGTAGGAGAGAAGGGGGGGGTAAGATTTTGATGATATTTGTAGATTGTAGGAGAAGCAAGTAATGGAGTTCTCATCTAATATCTTTAATTTTCCAATGAAGAACAAGACATGGTCATCTGCCAAAAGCCAGCGTAAACAAGACAAGGCAGGAAATTTAAGGGGAGATAAGAAGTTAGAGCAATCACTGATGGAGACCATGGAGGAAGATTTCTGGAGAATGATCCTACAAAAAGAGCTGTGTCATACTGGGAATTCTGGAGATAAGATGTATCCTATCAGAAAGTAGCATCCCAGTGTCAGAAAACAGAATCATTAGGAGGGTGGAGCTATCCTTATCTCAACCAGCAAAACCCCTTGTTCCTTCCTATTATTGCTTATACTCTCTCTACAACAAAATTAGAGATAAGGGCAAATAGTTTCTGCTGGGTATTGAGGGGGGAGCGGGAGGGGGTGGAGTGGGTGGTAAGGGAGGGGGTGGGCAGGGGGGAGAAATGAGCCAAGCCTTGTATGCACATATGAATAATAAAAGAAAAATGAAAAAAAAAAAAGACCTCTCCCAATTACCGGAAAAAAAAAAAAAAAAAGAATTAAAAGGGAGCAAGACAGTCCATTAGGAGTCTTGTTCAATCCTCACTGATAAGGCGTTAGCCTTTTGCTGTTAAGTTCCATGAGAACAGGCACCATGTCTACTGACATGCTGAGTCACCACAGTAGCCCCAGCTCCTAGCACAGAGTCTGACACATGGTACACACTCGATAAAATGTGGATCCACGAAACACAAGGATATAAAAATGTCTCAGACGGCCAGGCACCAGTGGCTCATATCTGTAATCCTAGCTACTCAGGAGGCAGAGATCTTGAAGACTGCGGTTTGAAGCCAGACCCACGCAAATAGTTTGAGACCCTATCTCAAAATATCCAACAAAAAACAGGGCTGGTGGACTGGCTCATATGGTGGAGCATCTGCCTAGCAAGCATTAAGGCCCTGACTTCAAACCCCAATACTACAAAAAAAAGTCTCAGAGGTTAATCTCATGATGTAGATATTTTACCACCACGCCTCGTGGTAGTTCTCAATTTTGTTCTGCTGAAAATACAGCCTTCCAAATATTTTAGATACTCAATACCTGCTATAGTGCTCTCAGCAGTACCTCTGTCCTAATACTTCCCTATTATTAAAGTCCTTGGACATCTGACATTTCCAATAATGGATGCAGTTCTGCCTCCTCCTCTCCAACTTCCCTGACATGACACACTGGCAATATTCTCTCCACATTAAGAGGTATATGCTTTAGGGAAGGAGTCATAGCTTAAGTGGTAGAGAGCTTGCTGAGCAAGCACAGGCCCTGGGTTTAATCCTCAGTACCATTTTTTTAAAAAAGGTGTGCTTTCAGTACAGAGCCCTCCTCTCCTCCAGCACCCACAACAGCTCTGATATTAAAATGTCAGGGACACTGCTGTTACATACTACAATGCCCCAGGTAATCTTCAGCCAGCTCTGATTCCTTTTTACCTGAGCCACTTGATCGTGTTTCTCAGGGATGTTTTTCAGATTGTTAGATCGTACACAGACAATGTTCCCATCTATGGAAAGAGAAAGAACTTATATGTTTTTTTTCCCAAAAGGTGATTTAAAAGAAAGTGCCTGGCAACTCACATTTTCTCCTTCAGAGGCATATGTAGATATAAAGAGGCAAAGTGCCTAATTCAAGTGCATGGCCCATTTTTCAGAGAAAACCTAATTGTTTCCTGGTTTAGCCATTAAGCAGCTAATTCCTAATGGAGCTAGTTCTCAATATTTTCTCTCGTATCACAAATGTGCCATATGACAATGTCTGCTTTCTGTTCAGATTTTAAGAGGGAAATAAAATGTAATGGGTTTTGTTTCTCTATTACTGAATAATAGAACACTGACGTCATACCTCATTAATTCAGTACACGGGGGAAAAAGCCAAATGCCCTAATGAACTGTAGTTTAAGGCATATGGATATTAAACAGTGTGACTAATATAAAATGATGGTGTTTCAAGTGGATTTATTGAAAACGGGCAAACAGAAAACTCAGGAATGGAATCTGGGAATGGATACTGGAATTAACTCTCAGAAAAAATGCCACTGATTTCCCTCACCACTACTCACTCCCCCTCCAATTCTTTTGAGACAGGTTTATCACAAAAATTCTAGTTTTTAGAGCTACGAAAATGTGAACTGGAGAAGGCAATTCTGACAATGAGGCACTGCTCCCAGTATGAAAAGTAGCACAAATAAGGACGATGATGATGACGATGACGATAATGGTGACATGAGACAGCACCAGCAAGAACTAACACTTACTAAGTGTTTATGAGGTACCAGGCAAATAGCTTTTAGAAGAAAGGGTGAGGACTGTGATTTCTATCGCTATGTTATAATGACAATGACACCCATCAGAAAGTATCCCCTATCAAACTTGTGATTATTTTCTGTATCCAAGACTTCCGATTCAAACTTGTTTAAGCTCACTATATGTTCCATTTCTGCTAACACTGTTCTCTGCACCATGCCCTTCCCTCTCAGTCCTTGGTTTCTTATTTCTGCTAGTCACAGCCTTCAACTGACCTTTCCACGTTCCCAGGTAGTACCCCACAGTCTTCGGATTGCCATCTGGGCCTCGGTTCACAGAGAAGGTGGACTTATTTCGGTAGCCATTGATGACAGGCTACAGAGGGCAAAAGGATAGGAGGGAGTTATAAACGAAAACAAGGAGAACAACAATAAAGGGAAGGCAGGAATATTCTGTGGATGAGGACAAATGATACTTGTTTGGAAATTAAGGAGTTAGCAAACTTGTTCATCAAGGACTGGAGTTAATAGTTTAGCCTTTGCAGGCCACATGGTCCCTGTCACAACTACTCAACTCTGACACTGTAGCACAAAAGCAGCCAGACAACATATAAACGGGTGAGTTTGGCTGTGTTCAAATAAAATTTTATTTACAGAATCAATCAACAGGTCCAGGCACTGGTGGCTCATGCCTGTAATCCTAGCTACTTGGGAATCTTCAATTCAGAGGATCATGGTTCGAGGCCAGCCAGGGCAAAAAGTTCACAAGACCCATCTCAACCAACACTGAGCACAATGGTATATGCCTCCCATCCCAAGCTACACAGGAGGCTAAGATTGTGAGGATCACGGTTCCAGGCCACCTCAGGCACAAAAAGTTCACAAGAACCCTCCCAACAGAAAAAAAGCTAAGCATGGTGGTGGACACTTGTTATTCCAGGTACTACAGGAAGCATAAATAACAGGATTATAGTTCAGGCAATTCCAGTCAAAAAGTGAGACCCTATCTCCAAAGAGCTGGAGGTATCGCTCAAGTAATAGAGCACCTGCTTTGCAAGCACAAAAGGCCAGAGTTTAAACCTTAATATCACCAAAAAAAAACTCAAAGCAACAAGATAGATTTTGGCCTAAGGGCCATAGTTTGAAGACCCCTGCCATAAAATGAAATTCTGCATCTCTGAAGCCTCATTAGGAAGGTTTCTAAAGCCTTCCTAATCTTTCTAATCTTTTCTAAGGAGGTAGTATAGTGATTGGTAAAGTGGTGTCACAACATCAGCCAGCCTTGCATACAATAATTCAGGTACCTCACTATTATCTAAATTTGCATTGAACATATATGCATAAGTACTTTCTGGGCACACTCACAACAGATATGAATGTGAATCTCTGTTCTGACACTTTCTAGATGTGTGTCCTGAAGTAAATTACTTGTTTTCTCTAAGCCTTAATGTCTTTATCTATAAAATGATAGTATCTACCCCTCAGGGTTACTATAAACAGCAGAATGAGATAATTATGCATGATAATCATCTAGCATAGGGCCTGGTAACCACCGAGTACCCAGTAAATATCAGTTGATATCATTAGTCATCCAGGGGACTTAATAAGGAAATAGAGAGGTGGGGGCTTACAGAGGGTATAATAGGATGGAGAAGACAACAGAGACCCTCTGACTGGGGTACAGCTACTGTGCCACAAACTCCGTTGAGCAATTGCAGGTAAGACTCTACTCTTTGCAAAATTCCTTCTGAGCTTCAAATTTTACCTGCAAAAGAATGAAACAAAGACTTTTGTAGGTTTACTGAACAAGATAAAAAGGGGGGCTCCCAAGATTCATAGGTCATGGTCTCAGCACATACAGAATCCAGAATGATAACACAGGAAAAAACCTAATAAGGTACAGGAAAAAGGTCAAGAATGAGCTCTGTGTAAGCTCATCCTTTTATCTGACCCTTTGCAACTAAACACTTAAGATATATGTCGGACCTGTCCAAAAGAACTTTCTATAATGGCAGTATTCTATGTCTATGCTATGTTCTATGTATACAATAGGTACAGAGTACTTGAAATATGGCTAGTGGGACTGCAGAAGTGAATGTGTAGCCTTATTTAATTGTTTTTGTGGTGCTAGGGATGAAACCTCACGAATGTCAGGCTAGCACTGTACCACTGAGCCATACTCCCAGCTCACAGTTAATTATTAAATCATAATTAACTCAAGAGTCAGCTCTACTACAATGTCACATAAGTGTTCCTACACCACACTATGTAAAGTTTGTGCGCGCGTGCGCGCGCGCACACACACACACACACACACACACCACACACAAAACAACAAACAGAGCTTATGGGAAAAACAGGTCTAGGCACACAACATTCCAAAATTTTACCAGTAACACCCACAGAAAAGATAAGAACTGAATAAAAAAAAGTAGCACCACTCCACACATGTCAAATGGATAAGAATAATAATACTATGATAAGGACAGCACTTTACCCTAAGAATTGAGATTTGCTTGTAGAATCAGATGCTGAAAGGGTCATAGCTTGAGAGTTATTGTGAAGTGGTAAAAAATGAGTCAGACAGAACATTCTAACACCAGAGGCAAATGAGTGTGGCCATAACACACTCAGGGAACTCAGGAAGCCAACAGATGTTTGAAGTGTTTGTGTGTGCATGTATGCATTTTATGTATTCTTACATAGTCCAGTTCAGCTGGTACAGTTTTCTTCTTTCATCTAGTACTTCTCACTGACAAAAATCATTCCTAGGCAAACATGAAGTCTGCATTATGCTCAAATTGCTTCCTAACATGCCAATCCTTTGGAACAAATGTTGTTTTCAAAGCAAACACTGAGAGCAGAGAGTTGACTGTATTTAAATTTAAAAAGCCACGTGTGACTAGTGCACCCATACTGGAAGGTGCAAAGCATTGTAACTTACACTCACACAGCTATAAGAATGACAAAAAACCAAGGAACAAAGGCAATCAGCATTTGGATCCATGGGTCTAGAGTTTAAAACTGGCTTAAAGTTCAAATTTCAGAGTCATTAGTATAGAGCTTACAGACCTGTGGGGCATCTGGGTAGTAGAACTCTCCAATCAGGCTGCCATGAGTCTAGCACCATTCCAATGCTGGAGAGAAAGGGAAAGACTTAAGCAGGGCACCTACCTTGAGTTGTTGTTCATAGCTCATCCTCCAGAGTGGCGTCACAACATCAGCCAGCCTTAAATAAAATTTAGACACTTCATTAATGATCTAATATGCATTGAGCACCTACTATGCTTAAGTACTTTCCTGCCATCACTTTCCCTGGTGTTTTATCATTCAAAAGACCCAACTCTCATGCACAAGGGAGATGAAGTCTGGGAAAAGAGCCCATTTTGGTGGCATCTACTTAACAAAGCAGAACAGATGGGCAAACCTAAATATAGAAAAATCCAGATTTATCAGGTGGTAATTAATCACATTTCAAAAAGCTTCACTATTGGGTTCCTTTAAATAGCTTACCTCCCTAATGCTTTTTAAATATAATTTGATTTAGAAAATACACTTGTTGCACAAAATGAGGCATATCTGTGTTTGTATGACTGCAATGGGACTATTCATTTCTAATCCAACTAATATCATTCTAGATCTCTGGTTTTCAGCATACCTACCATGGACCTTTTTCAGAGGCAAGGTCCTAGTTTAATACCTCTTTTCTGACAAAACACACTCGAAGACAAGGAGAACATTTTCTGCAATCCCAAAGCAGTTCCATCAAAATATTTCAGATGTTCTCAAGTGTGTCCTGTGTACCCTACCTCAAGTATTCCCTTAAATCCTGGCAATACCACATTAATTATGTTAGCAAGAGAGAATCTCAGTAGACCCACAGCTTCAGACTTGCTGGAGAGAAAGACATCAGCCTGGGTGTTACCTTTCCTGCCAGGAACCATTCAATGATTCAAGATAGTTTTGTTTCTTCTGACTTTTTTTGTCCTCTTGGATACTTCTTGGCAATCACCTGGGTTGAAATTTCCCTTACATGCAGCACTCAAAAAGGGCTGTGACCAATCCAGTGGTTTTCTGGCACACCAGGGAAGAAGTCCTGGTTTGAAGAAACCAATCCTGAAGAAGAGGAATCTCAGGATGTGCATATAGACTTTCTCTTTTGATTCTTCCAAGCCACACACTAAATTGCCGCTGGAAAGATAGACACACAACTTACAAAACCTTTGCGTTCATCTACAAACCCTTATGGAACCCCAGCACC